GAAGTACACTGCTGAGGGGAGCAGCGGGCGGGTCAGGAGAGGTCTGCCACGCCATGTGGGTCACCTCCGGGGCAGCGGGGGATCAAACTCATGCGGAAGTGGCTTAAGCTTCTTTGTGCTGTGCTTTAACCCGCTGCGCCACCAGGGAGGGCCCTACGGTCTCTTTTTAAAGCAGAGTGTGAAGAAACATATTGGTCCTTTTTCTCTCTTTCAGGTTCTGGCACAAAGGTGAACCCAGTAGTCACTCTGAGAAGTGTGTTGTTCTAAAGTTTCATCCAGACACAAAAATATGGGGCTGGAGTGATGTTCAGTGTCATTTACCTCACAGGTCAATTTGTAAGATGTGAAAGATCTACCTCTCAGAGAACCGTCTCCATGAGCATGGGGTGCTAATCTGTTATTGTCCATATGTAAGTCTTATAGAAGAGACTTCCATTGAATTTTTCTGGCTGTCTCTTATCCCATTGATAATAAATTCAATGTGTACATTTGTCATTTATTCCTAAAGAGATGAATATTTATTGAAGTTTTCCATATCCAGAGCCTAACAGGAGCGGCCTGTGTTTCTGCTTTGAGATCTAACTCATGTTATTAAATGATTCATAAATCAGGCAACATCTGTCTAGCAAGCAACAGGGCTATCAGCACTCACCAAAATGGAGGGTTTCTATGGACCAAAAATGGGGGAACGAGGTATGGACAAGAGAAGATTAGTTCAGGTAGCTGTTGTCTCTGCAGAGAAGGCAGGGGTGTCCCTTCCTGCAGCGGACCTCAGTGGTGCTAAAGGAAACTCCAGATTACATGAGTTTAATGCTACCTTTTAGAAGAGGCTGAAATGGCACTTAGATTTAAGTGTTAAGTCTGGGTACCCCTTGCTCCACAGCCACCGTGAACAATGCCATCTTGGACTGTTCTTGCTGTTTTTAAAATCCTCCTCTCTAGATTGGGCGCTCAGCCTCACTGAGGCTTTTGATCAACATTTAAAGTATCAGCACCACCCCTCACTGCCAATTCTCACAGTTCTTACTGGGCTACCTTGTGGTGTTCACAGGTCATTTATATTACAATGCTAAGGTAGATTGAAGGGTGCCTCAGGCCCCCCAAACTTGCACATTCTTCAAGCCATCCACTGCATCAAGACAAAACATACTTGAAGTGTGCAAGATCTTTCATAGCATTGGTGTGAATAGAGAGAGAGAAGAAAGGATGATAGAGTCCCCCAAGTCCCCAAAGTTACCCACATCTTGTGGGTAAATGCCAGCATAACAGGGTCGGCCCAAAGTAGGGCTGAGGAGGCCAAGAGCTTGCCACAAGTCCAAGGTGGAGGATTTTGGGGAGAGGGGTATCATAGGAACAGGGAGATGGGTTCAGGAGAAATACAAATAAATGTAATACCTGCCATTGTAATACCCGCCTCCCCATGGGTCCTTCACCCACATGTATCTTTTTTTTTTTAAGTTTTTTCAAAGATTTATTTGTGCATACAGAACTGGGGTACAGGCCAGAGACTCAGGGGTGGCGGAAGACTTCACCAGAGACAGAGCGGGGAGCAGAACAGGCAGATAGATGAAGTACACTGCTGAGGGGAGCAGCGGGCGGGTCAGGAGAGGTCTGCCATGCCATGTGGTCACCTCTGGGGCAGGCGGGAATCGAACTCATGCAGAAGTGGTTTCAGCTTCTTAGTGCTGTGCTTTAACCCGCTGCGCCACCAGGGAGGGCCATAACAGAAAGATACTTAGAAGTAATAGAATGGCATAGTCAAAATACTTAGAGGTAAACATTGCCAGCCTCGCCTTCAGACAGGAGGAAGAAATAAAGTGCTTCTTTGACAAACAGAAACTAAAGGAACTTACAAAGATTAGACTCCGAGAAATACTGAAAAGAGCTAAACCAAAGAGAGGAATGAACATAAAGAACTGAGAAAGGAAATAGTACCACAAAAACAGTGAAATAGCAGGTTATAAAATAAATACACAAAAATCAGTGGCCTTTCTAAATACAAACATGAGCTAGAAGAGGGAGAAATTAAGAAAATGATCCCACTTACACCCACGTGTATCTTTCAAGTGTCTCTACAGGTGTCTCCTCCTGTGTTCCCCACATCCCAGGGGAATTTACCATCCTTCAAGGTAAATGTCCAGCTGAACAGAGATGGCCCAAAGCAGGGCGCTGAGGCCTGAAGCTTGCCACAAGTCTAAGGTAACTTTTGGGGGGAACCATAAGACAGGGTTAAAGGGGGCTACACAAGTCCAGGGAAGAAGGAGAAAAATCAAAATACAAATCAAGGTAACACCTGGCATTGCCAGCCTCTCCACAGAGCTTTCGCCCACAGGTACTGCCATTGTCTCTATGTGTCTCTCCTCCATGTCCCCCACATCCCTGGTGTGAGTCCAAAGCGGGGAAGCAAGAGTACCCCTTCACTTGGCTCCTTTTGAGTCTCCTGCTGCCTCTCTCCTGCTGCCTCTGTTCCTCCCAAGTAAGTGGGGCAGGGAGCACAGAAGCTCCATTTTTATGGAGATGCCTCTGTTACAGCAGCTTCCAGTTCATTCTTTAAGCTGGTCCTTCCCACTCCATCTCCGAGGTCCAGTCTCAGCTAGATCTTTTGCTAGTGGTTAATGCTGCAAACATGCATTTATAGCTCGGAGGAATACAGTGTTCAGGCAGATTATATGCCATAAATAGGACATTCTCAGAGCTTCAAGTAAGTTCAGAGCCAGGGTTCTGAGGACCCAGACCAAAGGAAGGAAGACCTCCAGACTGCGCTGTCTTCAAGCCTGCAGCTATGGAGTTTAATGGTTTGTAGCTTTTGCGGGTGGTGTGTCTTGGTGTAGAACCAGGGATGCAAGTGTTTCCCCAATGAGGCTTGTCAGCCAGAGACAGGCAGATGGACCCCTGAGATTAGGATTTTAACCTGATAGGGAGGCGTTGGATTTTTCCCAGAGAACCCAGGCATGGAAGAATTTGTGATAAGCAGAACTACAGGATGAACCGAGGGGCAGATCCAATGGTCTGGGAGGTTATCCCCTTTGGAAGTGGCCTGAACAATGTGGATGAGCTGTATCATGTCAGGCCTGTGCCCAAGTGAATGAAAGGAAGAGGAAAAGAAAGGAGTTTATGGTCAAAGTCTTGGTCTGGTGTCTGGTGTGGAGATATCTACATAGATGTCAGCTACTTTTCCTCCTGTCAACTTGGTGCGTGGATGTCAGGTGGGATGGGAACCCAAGTTCAAGTCTCTGAAGCTTAGCTGCCATCTGGGTGGTGAGAGAACCTGGTATCATCCCTTCCAAGGAGATGCAAGGACAACCTCTGTTCTCAGTCACTGCAAATCAGGAGGGAGCAAGAAAATTGGAAACATTCATTTGGAGAGCAGTAGCCAGGTATTTGAGGAACTAAAAGAAAAAAAAATCAGCATCTGGTTATGAGATGTTACCTGTAGTACCTATACAAAGAGAACTGTTTCCTTGCAGTGGTCAAAAGAATACTCACTAGATTTCCAAAGTTCTGTAGGGATTTGTTAGAGAGAAAAGGAAAATGTTTCATCATTGTTAACAGATACATACTTAAGACAAAAGATCCTCTTAAGATCATTTTATTTTTATGATTTTTAAAAGAAAGATTTATTTATTTCTGCATACAGAACTGGGGTACAGGCCAGAGGTGCAGGGCTGGGATGGTGGTGAGAGGATTCACCAGAGGCAGAGAGGGAAGCAGAACAGGCAGATCTATTGAAATACACTGCTGAGGGGAGCAGCAGATGGGTCAGGAACTCCATGTGGGTCACCTCCCTGCCTGGGGATCAAACTCATGCTGCAGTGGCTGTGGATTGCTTCCTAGTGCAATCCTTTAACCCGTTGGGCCACCAGGGAGGGACCTAGAGCCCATATTTTTATGATCTTAAAGCTATCATAGTCTGCTTTCTAGAGAGCTTGTCAAAGTCCTGCCCATAATTCTCCTTGCAGGTCAAGCATTCTAGCAGACCAGAACTGACCATGCCTCTCAGAAATGGTGAGACATCCAGAGAGCCCAACAAAATTAGTGAGTGCCATCCCATTTCCTTGCCCCTAAATGCTGCTGGACATTTGCCTTAAACCCCATAGCTGCCAAACTGTTAATCAAAACCCACAAAGTTAGAGATGCAACTGATGTCATTAAGTTATTCATGAGTCAGGCTGCGTCCTAGTTAGCAGGCAGAGAGGCACAGTCAGGAGATCCCTTCTAGAGACAGCTGGAGGGACCGGAACTTCCTAATTTTTGGCTGCTTTTCAGGAGGTCAGGCAATAATGTAATCATATATGTGTTCTTCCATCTGTCTGGATTTTCTCTTTGTGGGCTGGTCAAGAGCAAACTCATTCCCACCACCACTTTCTGTCTCTCAGGGAGTTTTACTCCTTGGAACAGAAGGCTTATGATTCTCTTTCTCAATGGAAGAAAAGTCCAGTTTATCCCACAAGGGCCTTTAGACATCTTAACATTTTCTCTGAGGTCTTGACTTGTCATTTAACACCATGGCACTGGCAGAAGGAAACTGGAGACAGAAATTTAGAGGTTTAGAATCTGAAATCAACACTGGTGAATTGACACAGATTTACTTTCATCAGGTCTTCTGGTAATTTTCGATAAAGGTGGACCTTCACAGGCTTTATTAGCCTTAGGGAAATGTCCATCTACAGGTAAAAGAAAAGACTGCTACTTGTAGAACTATTCAAACAAAGTTTGGCAGGTGGATCATACGTAAGACATATCTTGAATTTTTGGCTGTATTCGTCTTTAAAGTTGCTACTGAAAACAAATAAAGGTAGACAATAAACCTACCAACATCAGGCTCTTTGTTCAACCTGCCACTTAGTAAATGGAAGAGAAGCAGCAGCTCTCTGTGATAAGTTCTGAGGAAAATGCATCTTCCGGAGAGGAAACAAATGATCAGTAGACAAGGGAAAAATGCTGTTCCAAATCATCTTCCTCCCCGACCTAGGGGGAGGTGAGGTTCTAAGGCGTTGAGGCCAGGGTGTTTCCATGTTCCCCACATTCTGTCTGGGTTACCTAATTGTTTCATGTTAATTTTCCTTACATGTTCTGTCTTTGCCAACATTGAAATCATTAATGGTTCACACTTTGCCAAATTCACTATCAACATTACTGAATTCAGTAATCAAGAATGGAAGGAATAATGTGACATTTATCTGAATTCAACTAAATGTTCTAGATAAGGATCGCACAATGAAATGTTCTGCAGAAGTTGAAATCATTGTGAATGGAACTTTATCGTAAGGACTGTGGTGCATGTTGTTGGTTCGTCAGTTCCTTCTTCCTTACAGATAAGACTCTGGTGTTTAAAGGCACCTTCTTCACACCAGTGTCGGGCACTCTGACCTCAAGTCCCTGTGGGTGGATACG